ACTTTCACGAGAACCCTTCCCAGCTGCTGTCTCCTTGAATATTTGTTTAAGTGAAGTGGCTGTTGTGCTGGAAGGCCTCAACAAATTCTTGACGACCTCTCGTGATAAACATTGTCTTAAATATGGTGAAATCTTTTTTTTTTTAAAAAAAAAAAAAATAGTAAATAAAAAAAAAATAATTAATCGACATAATAATAGTGATGATGATGATGATAATATCATAAGATAATATACCCTGTCAACAGTGGTTCTGATCATATCATCACGAGCTCGTTTTAATGATCTGAAGGCTTTTCCAAAATAAAATTGGATATCATCTTTTTCACCTTCCATACTGATTCGCACAAGCACACGCCCCTGAGGTTTCAAGTCAAGCCACAAATCATGCGCCAAAAAATCATCATAGGAATCTATATCAAGCTTAAAATAGGCTTTTCCACACTCGGCATCCGAACTAACTTGATCCTGATCCCAGACGGCTATCATAAACGTTTATTGAAGATTTTGTTTTACAAAAATTCTTTCTTATTATATAGTGTTAATATTTTTTGATAGATTTTCATATTTATTTTATGTAATCATGTATAAATTATAAATATAAATTTATTATATATTATATATTATATATTATATATTTTTAAATAGATGTAAATAATATATATGCATTCTCGTTTTTTATTATTGTAATAGATTTAATTTAATAAAAATTGTTTATAATTTATTATTATTATTAATAATAATTACAAAAAAAAATGAGGAGGGAGATGTAATGATACTAATAATGAATTAAATTACGTGATGATTGATTATATTAGTGTACTTGACAATTTTCTTAAATAAATTATCTGATCAATTATTCAATTTTAATTCAACAATATTATTTAATAAAAGAAAAAAAAATCTATATATTTATTCTAATTTTTTTATAATTATTATTATTTAATTAAAGCAAGTTTAAAATTTCAAATAATGCTGTACCAACTATTAAGAAAAGAAAAACTGCCAAAGTACCATAACCAACTGGAATTTTATTTTCTTTTTTCTAAAAATAATAGAAAAAATTAATATTATTATTATTCCTTTTCCATCGCCAT